ATCAAGGGCTCTGGAGAAAGCAATCATCATCTTTACCTGAATCCAAGATGATTCTGAATATGGAAAAATTTAAATTTTGTCATAATTTCTCATGTATAGAATGTAATTATTGGAAAATTGTCTGAAATTGTGTCCCCTTCCTCAAAGCGCTGGCAGGGAGCAGGTGGCTTTCTTGCCTTCTTCCCCACCCCTTTCTTCCCCCTGCAGCCTGCCTGCCCCAACTGGCGAGCCTCCACTCTGCAGCCTCTGCTCCCTTCCCACCCCACCTGCTGCCGTGTTGTGCTCCAGCTCCATTCCCTCTCAGCCACACGGCAGCATCCTGTGACCAGAGGTGTGCTGCCGCTGATCGGCTGGGCAGGGCCTCCATGTGCCCTCAGAGAGAAAAGATCTGGAGCTGGGGGAAGGAGGGAAGAGGGCAGAGGCTGCTGAGGTGGGAGGAGGGGAGGGTTGGTGGGGCAGGGAAGCAGATGCTGTGGCTCTGACTGGCCCTTACCTGGGCATCGGGCCAGAATCAAAGCTGTATCCTGCACCCATACCCCCTTTCCCCCCACCAACCTTGCTGAGTTGGGGGGGGGGGAAACTTAAATCTTGAATTCAACTAAAGACTGTGGATCTTCAATCCTTACCCTACTGGCAGGCTGTTCTAGTTCCTCAACTAGTTAGAAATCTTCTCATTTCCACTCTAAGCTTATTCATGGCCAGATTATATCCATTTGTTCTTGTAGTGGCTTTGTCATTTGGCTTAAACCGTTCTTATCCCTCTCATGCCTGCTTTATATACATGTATTGAGGTATAATCATCTTCCTTTTGGCCCTGGTCTGTTACAATAGCTTCTCTGTTCCCCTGATCATCATCCTGACTGAGGTTCTCTATTTGTTTCAGTTTAATCTTCCTTCAACATGGGTGACCAGAATTTTACTGTGCTCTAGATGAGGTCTTACTAGCACCTGGCTACAATAGCATTCATGCTTTGTTCCTCTTTTGGGAATTCCTTGTATGATGGTTCATAGTATCACCTTTCCTTTTTCAATTAGATCACACTGATAGCTCGTAGTCATCCTGTGATGAACTAATACAGTGGTGCTCAACCCCTGGCCTGTGGAGCTGTCTCATGGTCACATCCGGTAGCAGGGGAGTAGTAATAGCATTAATTACTCCCAATGCACCAGCAATTAATACTGCTACTGGTCTCCTGCCACCAAATTTTCAAACCCATGTGGAACCCCGCAGTTCAGATGACATGACCCCACAAGCCAGATTGTGCTAACACATGGTCACTACAGCCAGATCCAGCATGTGGAGTTGAGCCGGCTCACACCTGCAGTCCAACCAGTGCATAGGATCCATCCTGGAGGGATTGAGCCCCCACAGATTAATACAGTCAAGGTCATTATTCTCCCTTTCTCTTTGCTTCCAGTTGTTGAGTCCCCAGTTAACAATGAGAATTTTTACTATTGTTGTTTCCAAATACAGGGCTTTGAATCTCTTGTGCTGTGGAATTTCATCTCCTTTCTACTACTCTAGTTCAAGATTGTCCAATTATTTTCCCCGTTTTATTCTTATCCTCTACCATTTGGATAAGGCCTTCCAGCTTTGTCATCAGCAGATTTCACAAGCAAACCTATTTTGTGCAAATGTCATTAAAGGATAAAAGGAAAATTAACATATTTGGCCATTGGCTTTTTTTGGCTGGTATAGCTGGTAATGTACTGATAAGTATAATGTTGCTTCTGGATGGGGCCCCAGATGCTGCGTGCACGTGTGCAGCTGCAGCATGCAATGTGGCCAGGAATGCAGCTGGACGGTGGTGAGAGTAGTGCCCTGCAGGTGAGTGGAGGGAGAGGGGTAGATTGAGGCCCCCCACTGGTGAGGAAGTGGGACAGGACAGTGAAGTGTCATCCAGGGCTGTAAGTGGGACCCAGGGCTGGGGTGGGGAGCAGGATGGAGCCATAGGCTGCTCGTCCAGGGGGGGTGTGTGTGGGGGGGGGGGGGGTTAGGGTAGGTGGCTCTCCACCACTGCATGCACCCCCCAAGCAGCATGAGGGACACATGTCTCCCTGGATTTGTGCACAGGGCTTGGGCAGATGCAGGCTGCTCGCTGCAGGCTCGGGGCTCCTTGCCCTGCTGCCTTTGCCCTAGGAGCCGCACGCTGGTCACGTGTCCTGTCCACCTGGCGGTGGTGGTGAATTGTGCCTCTTGCCGCTGGGTGGACAGGGAACATGCAGCCAGCATGCGGCTCCCAGGGCAAAGGCAGCAGGGCGGAGAGCCCCAAGCTCGCAGCAAGCAGCCTGAACCTGCCCTTGACCCACGCTGCTCCAGTTAAGTGCCCCCATGCTTAACAATGGTTGCGATGGAATTTGAAGTAAAGCTGATTTGAGAAGCTTCACTTTCAAGTACTCCCAATGCCATTTTTAAGCGCCAGCCACTGATCCCCTGGATGAGCTGCCTGTGGCTCCGTCCCGTTCCCTACCCAGCCCCAGGGTCCCATTCACCACCCTGGCTGGGCAGTGCCCTCCGCCCCCACAGTGAGGGAGAGGGGCAGGGGCTTTGATCTGCCCCCGCACACCTCTTCCCCTACAGATTTACCTGCAGGGCACTGCTCTCCACACTACCTGGCTGCATTTCTGTAAATCAGTTATTGGATTATGCTTGGTGAATAATAGGCTATTGGTATCAGATAAGAAAATCTTTATTAGTATACCCCCAGTAGAATTTTATCTTTTTATTTCTGAAGACTAAAATAATCCTGCATACTATTAAGATCAGACTAATTTGTATGAAGTTGCCTGGAAAACTTTATTCTGGGATAAAGATTATTTTGTCCTCCAGACTTAAGCACATTTGAGCCTCCTATTTTGACATTGGATGCAGTAGCTTTCATGTGAATATGTTCCTTCCTGTTAGTCATGTTTTTCTCCCATGTTTAACATCCCTATATAAAAAAACCAAACCAAAACAAGAAAAACATTAAGCCAAAGCATTCGTTTGTTTTTTTGGACCATACCTCAATTCTTTACTCCATCCTCATTGTATAGTGGTCCTATTTTCTTTAGGTCTTAGACTTCTTGCTGATCAGTTTCTTTCATTCCTTGTAAACTGCCTGCTTATTCCCACTACCCTTTTCTAAGCGTTAGGCCTAGATTCTTTATAACTAAAATTTACTTTCCAAAGAGGAATGTTAACTGTTTGCGCACTTCTGGCACAAAGAAGTTTCAAGACCCCAGAACATTCAGGTCCTTGTGCTCTTTAGTCGGACTTCCCTGCCTAGCTGCTTTTAGTGTATTTACCTTTTTAAAAATAAAAAGGATGAACTAAAAGAAAGTTGGATAAACTAGGATTTTTCAAATTGAATACATTTCATAGCTGTATGGACCAACATCAGTTACAGCTGAAGTCACCTAAAAGTTCAGCATGGTTTTGATCCATAATTGGGACTCTTCCCTAAACCACAAGAAGTTGTCAGACAATAAGTAGTAGCAGAAAAGAATGAATACACCTTTTTTTTTTCCTCCTCTGAAGGCTTGAATTCTGTTTTAAGTTTTTTTTGTGCAGAATCATGCCATCATTGCATACCTGACTTTAGCTTCCTAAATTCCTTTATGAGTCTTATTGAAAAAAAATTACATCATTCCATGATGGAAACTACTTGTGCCGTTAATTGCTACCTACTATGTTATGATCTATTGTACTAGTCTTCCATGGACTTCTGTTAGATTGCTTCATGTTGCTATTTCACCTCAGTGGAAGTACAATGAATGCCATCATTTTAATTTTCTAAGCCCTATGGAAACAGAGGACAGCACTGTGCCTGGTGAGTCAATTATGTCCAAGGCCCCAGAAATTAGCTAAGGAAGAATCTGCATCTAGTAGATGAGGAATATTCAAAGCTATTGAACTCTGATCCTAGACCACTGTCTTATCACTGTAACCCGCAGCCATATCACCTTCTCAAAGCAAACCTGCCAAAGTGCCTGCTGCTGGTGTTTGCAACTAAGTCTGGCCCGTGGGCTGGATTGGGTCTGCAGCAGACTTTGCTTCCCAGCAGCCCCTGCCTGCATTGCTGTGGCCAGTTTCCATTGAGACCTCAGCAGCAGGGGGGCCGTGACAGCATGGGGCCAGGGCTTCCAAGGAGACCAGCCACAGCAGTGCTGACGGTGCTTGGCTGGGTGGGGGGCTGCTCCAGGGCTGGGACCTTGCAGTGGTGACAATGTGGTCCGGATCCAGGGCAGAGCCATGATCCACTGCCTGCATGCCCCTGCCCGGGCTGTGTAGGCAGCAGATCTGTCAGCTCTGGCTCTAGACCATGCTGTCACCACCGCTAAATCCTGGCCCCCTGTGTCCTGCCAGCATTGCTGGGGCTGATCATGGAAACCCTAGCCCTGCTGCTGCTGGGGTCTCCATGGAAACCGGTCACAGCAACATGGGCAGAGGCTCCTGGCCAGATCTGCTCTTTTGCCCACCCCTCACATACCAATCTATGACTGTGTGAGGACAAACCAAAAGCATTAGCAATGTGAAAAATCCCCTCTGATCTCAGAACAAGAAGAGATCAAGACTTTGATTTGACAGTTAGCTTTGAAAATCCAACCTATGATTTTTTGGGGTGTCAGACCTTAACCCCTTTAACAGGCTGATGGCATGTGATGGTCACCCCCTTCTAAAGTGTTATGCTGGACAGTCAAATCACTAATAGCTTTGACATCTTTGTCAAGGATGTAAAATAAAGGCCTTGATCTCTGGCACTTTTCATACAATCTGTCTCCTTTCAAAACGTTGCTTTACAGGGTTTCAACCTGCCTGCATTCTGTCTACTTGAATTCAATACACAACCTTCAAGTAGGATGTCTGCTACACTGTTCTACCACAGAAGTGGCCATATTTCTGTGATGGGATTATGTCTGTGTATCGTTTCAGCATACTTTTGTGAAGTATATTAGGACAGAAAGTGTTTTAAATGTACTGCTGAAAGAAGCAAGAAAAAATGAGCTATTCAGACAACTTGAGACATGATTTTTTTTTTTTAATTCTAGAAACAACAAGATTCCATTGACCAGAGTTCATGTGTTATGTAACAACTGACTTCTTTAGTGTCTAACTCTAGATAAAAGTATTTGTAGAAACTATAGCCTGAAATATAGTTGTGTGTCTGTATATAGGTCTATAGAACTTTTCTAGTATGAAGTACTGCTTCTAAATCTACCCTGATCACTTGAATCCCATCCAAGTTTTCAAGGAGGTCTTGTACCACACAGCATTAGAACTTCATAAAAGGCACTTCTAAAGGCTTTTCTGTTGCATGTTTCAGTGCCAAGGCATAGCTATAAAGTCTGGCATCCACTACAATGTGCTCTTCTGCTTTTAGCTCTGCAAAAAAGTAAGAATGCCAGAAATACACATAAAGCAAACAGTGAGAGATACAAGTTCAATCCATTCATAAGAAGTACAGAAGCCTCACGGATTTGCAAAAGATGGTAAGTAAGAAGATACTTCAGCCTCATGGATTCAACACAAATGGAAGGCAAGTCCATCAAGGAAGCTGCCATATTTCTACTATAATGATATCCTTCTTAAGTTATAGGCAGCTGGATCCTAAAATGCATGGTTATCTAAAACTTTAGCAGCAACATATTAAAGTGTACCCTTTATGCTTCAAACCAATATAAAAATTGGCTTGAATATTAAGAATAAAGTCCAAAAACACAGAACTAAGTAACCGCTCCGTTATAGGAAGCTGCTCAGTTTAAAGCTATCTGAAGTGACCCTGCATTAAAAGCTACTCCCACCCGACTGAAGCTAGACAGACTATAAAGAGGTAGTTAGTCATGTTAGGCTGAAGTTAGACAGAAAATATCCCATAGACTGAATCAGAGATGTGAGAGCTTGCTTCATTCAATGCTAGCAGTGAGCTCTTGCCTATGAAAGCTTATACATCCATGATTCAGTTAGATAATGTTATCCACTGCCTTACAGAAAGTTTGACACCAAGTATAGAAGGCTAATAATGCACAGTTACTCCAAATCCTTCCAAAACCGAGCAAGCAGATGGTGGGTTTAGAAGACAGGAAGTCTGTAAGGGTGAAAGATCCCTGTGGTAACTGAAGTACAGCAAACGCAGATGTCAGTTGACTTACACTATGTGAAAAGAGTAGCTAAGGAATGTTCAATATGTTTTATTAATTTGCTTAAAGTGCCACAAAATAGGAGCTCACCTTCAATTCTTTGCAGTAGATCATTTTTTGGTAGTGAGACCACTTCCACAAATTCTAAGGAGGAAGAAAAACCAAATCAGATTACTAATACAGTACCTTTTTTCTGTCAAAAACAGCAGAAAGTTTGATCTAAAGGGAAGTCTCATTCTTCGTTTTTGAACTAAAATAAGATACAGGCAAGAAGCTATATTCAAATTAATCTTCCCCAAGAAACTATTAGTATAGTAATAATCCAAGCACCTGGACTTGCCAGTGTGATTTAAACACAGGTGAAAAATCAGAGGAAAAAGTCAGAAATTAGTTTTGAGAGGAAACTGCAAGACAACCACACAGCCAAATAGGAGAATGGTGGCAACTGTAAGAGCTGATAGCGGAGCAGGGAAAAGACGATTCTTCCCCTGCAACATGGTCAAATACTCCACTGCTAAAAGGACTGATATGCCTAGGTCTGGATGGCTGGTATAGTAATAGATCCTGATGTGCCTTTGACTCCAAGGCCAGAGAAGGTATAATGCAACCCATAAGAGAAATGAGAGTGTATTCCTTGTTGCTTTCAAGCAGTTTTGGTCAACATGTTTAAGGAAGGCCTGTTTATTTTCTTATAACTGTTTGTGGGTTAACCCCCCAAATGTCAGGCTAGGGGCCAGACCTATACGTTAGTGGAGCTAGTGATTCACATTAGCTGAGCTATTGGCTTTAGAGGTATCATGGACACTATGACACATCAGTTGAATTCTTCCTCTCCTTCTCTCATACATATTTATGCTTCAAAGCAATATAAAAACTGGCTTGAACATTAGGTTAATAATATATAGGTTTAAGGGTATAGATATACCCTTAAACCTAGGACAACAACTGTTTCAAAATATCAAGCCTATTCCAAAGCCCACTGAAGTCAAATGAGTTCATACAGTGTCACTGTGCAGATGGTGATGCCCAGAAACTGCTACTGACCACAGAGACGAGAGTTCGCGATGTGAGCATTATTTGTAAATATAATGGAATGTGAGAAGCATACTTAGCTGCGCTCCGAGCTGCTGCAAAGTTAAATGAGCAACATACCTCCCTCCTCTGCAAGTAAAAGAAGAAAACAGTATTAACATAGTAATTCAGTGAAAAAGGAGCTGGAAGTCCAGTCTCCTCTTTTCCAAGGGATTGCTCTAACTACTGGTTGTAACAGGGCCCTGCCCTGTTACTAGGGGGTCAGAGGAGTCTGAACAACCCCACACCCCAAAAGCACCTCAGCACACCCACCCCAGACCTGGGAAAACTCACTGGAGGCTGGGGAACCAGGTCCTGGAACGTAGTGAGCCCTGCAGCAAGGGAGCTGACACAGGTGTGGGGAGTGAGAGAGGATCCATGTAAGCCCAGAGTAGGAAGGATAAAAGACACTGAAAGCAGCCTCAAGGGAGCAGGCTACCAGGAGCCTGGCGTTGTCAGGGGTTAAGCAGCCACCTGGAGAGCCTGGAGCAGGGCTCTTCTCCGTTTGCTTGCTCACTTGCTTTGTTGCACAAGCCTGCAGTGCTCTGCAAAGCTTCTGAAAGATTCATAGATTGTAGAGTCGGAAGGGACCACAATGGATCATCATGTCCGACCCCCTGCCCCTGGCAGGAAAGAGGACCGAGGTCAGATGACCCCAGCCAGGTGATTATCTAGCCTCTTCTTGAAGACCTCCAAGCTAGGTGATAGCACCACCTCCCTTGGAAGCCCATTCCAGATCCTGGCCACCCTTACTGTGAAAAATTTCTTCCTAATATCTAACCTAAATCCACTCTCAGCTAGTTTACGCCCATTATTCCTAGGCACTCCCTGGGGCGCCCTAGTAAACAGTGCGTCACCTATTCCCCGTTGACCTCCCCTAATAAGTTTACAGGTGGCCACAAGATCTCCCCTCAGCCGTCTCTTGTGAAGGCTGAAGAGATTCAGCTCTCTCAACCTCCCCCCCGCAGGGTCTATCACAAAGGCCAGTAATCATGCGAGTGGCCCTCCTCTGGACCCCCTCCAGATTCTCTGCGTCCCTCTTGAAGTGTGGCGCCCACTTGAGCAGACGAGAGGCAGCCAGGGGGTGAAGCCTAGAAGAACTACTGGATGACAGCTAAGTGTTAACTCATTTGTTTAACTTCCTTTGCTTGTTTTGCATTGCTAACAAGCCTGGGGTGTCCTCTAGGTATCATCTACTAGCCTGGCTGCATCAGAGGCAAGTGGGTCATTGGCCATAGCCAGCAGCAAAAGTAAAACTGATCAGTTCAACTAGGTTGACCAAACACTGCGATGACCTGCCTAGACTCTGCCCACAACAGCCTACACTAGTCTACAGGAGCTCACTTGTGCTTTCTTCCTGGTTCAGTGAATATTTGAGTTTTCCATGCAAAGTGGAGCTTTAACAGGAGGGCTTATAAATATCTCTCTCTTTCCCATGCAATACTCTACCGTCTCGTGGTCAGGATATGCTCTGGGGTGGCAAGAGATGAGAATTCAAATCCCCTCAGCCAGAGGAGGTCCCTTCCTGTCCTTCTTTCCTAAGATCTTACCCAAGAGAGAGGAAAGAACTAAACATGAGCCTCCCAGATCTTAAGTGCCTGCTCCTATCCAGTCACTAAAGAAAAGCAGGGCAATACACGGTGGTCTGAAGAAAAGGCTTCCATTCCTAGTTCCAGGAAAAGCTCTAGGGCTGTGAACTGTGATGAGGAGAAGGTGCTTCCCTGCATCCCAGGGTAAGACAATTAAAGTGGAGAAAGGGATAGCATTTCAGACATATCCCTCCCTGCAGTATTTCCTATCGGCTGGCTTAGGCAACTCAGCCTGTGCTGCCCTTTGCGAATCCTGTCGTGTGCAACTTTCTCTGTGAATGGCACACGGAGCCTAGACACTTCCTGTCAGTGCTGTGAAATCCACTAGGAGGTTAAGCAGGTAGAAATCAGACACTGCAACACTGAGCACAGTGATGCCCAAGTCCCCAGTGCAGATCTAGCCTTTAGTGCCCGATGCACCTTCCACTGGTCAGTGAGAGAGCTTCCACTAACTCTAACAGGTCCTAGGGCAGCCTTTAAGGAGCTCATTCTGAAGTCGTGGAGATTTAACAGATTTCAATGACATCATTAATTAGAATCCTGTACTGTTAACTATTCAACACTTTCATAGCATATTTAGGGGATGTTGGCATCTAATGAGACAGCAGTGAAGTACTGTACTTGGAGCAAGACTCACCAGGCTTTTGCTTGGGCCTTACATTCTGACAGTCATCTCCATTAATGGCCACATTCACAAGGTACGTCGTGCAGTTTGTCAAACCGGGGTCCAAACAAAGAACTAGAAAGTTAAATTACACATTCATTTTGAATAACAAGAGCCCAGACTCCTAGACATTTTTACAAAGGTTTTCACTCTGCTCTGTGTGTTCTAATACAAGAACTTATTTATCAGGACACCACCTCATCCCGTTTCATCAACCAGCATCACAAAGCCAAGAGAAAAAGATTCCTATATATTGTTCCTACACGTGATTCTTCCCACAACTGTGCATTCTCATTTACACAGACCTTTTTCAAATCAGGAGTCTGATTCACATGCTGAGTATTTTCAGCATGTGAATTTGTTTTATTGCTTCTACTTCCATGACAAATACTAGCTTGAGTCTCCCCCAGAGGCTCTCAGCAAAGAAATGCGGAAAGCCCAATCTGCCATCAGCTACACGCACACTTTTCAACTCTGTATAAATTTTGCACTATTCACTGAAAGCACACTATGACCGTAACATGGCTATAGGCTCAAAACCAGAATCCAAAATTCACCCCCAAATTTTCCTGAGCAATTCACCCTGTTTTTCAATTGTGGATTCCAAGCTCATCTGCTAAAGGAAGTATGGAAAGTCCAAAAACAGAGGTAGGCTATCAAGGATGGCTGGATGCATTTTATATTAACATCTCCTTCTTCCTTTTTGTTACGAATCATTTGTCAAAAACTTGGGCTCAGCTAACATTGCCCAGCTGAGGCAAGGGTGATCCCATCTTCAGAGGCTGCATTACACAGCTGTTCTTCATTCACTGGATGGTTTTGTGGGAAAAATTCAACTTAAGCCCAGATTCACCTTTTAATGAATATATGCCAAACTTTGGTCAGATTCCAAAACAAACCTATCAAACTATGTGCGCCGAGTGCCATGTCAGAACCCGAGTAGATGGGTTTCATGCAAGGGTTCTTCTTAAAAGAAAAGTCTTCCCCTACAGCCCAACGCATAGAGGTTTGAGCCAGTGGATCTACAGTCACAGCCTTAAGGACTGCATCTAGAGCCCAATTTCCCACCCTGAACAGTGGGACCTTTGTAGATCCATTGCAGCTACTGGGTTCTGTGCTCATGAAGAGGGCTAGGGTTATTTCTGAGTCAGTCAGTCAAAGCCTACAGACCTGGAGAACATTCAGTGACCTCCCCTTTGAATCCTGTTTCCTCCTCCAACTCCCGCAGGGCAGCACTTTCTGGACTTTCATTTTCATCAATAAGGCCTGTAAATAATTCATGAATAAAAAAAACACTTAGGCATTATAACTGTTCTCTCACACAATAGTGACCATCCTTACAGCTAATTGAGCTTTACAAAGAAAAGGAGAGTCATTTCTCTTTTTACAGATGAAGAAACTGAGTAACTAGGAGGGGAAAAAGATCACAGGCAGCCCTATATTAGATGCAGGACAAGAACAGGACTCCTGACTTCCTGTGCTTGATGGACTGGAGTATGCAGCTACTGTACAAGGTAGAGAGATCCCTCAAGGCCAGGACATTCATAAAGGTGTCTGCTTTTTCAGAGGGCAAAAAGGGAAGGAAAAGGCAACAACAAGGAGTTGGAAGGATCCTACAAAGCAAATCAGATTGTTCTCACCTTGCATTCTGGATTTCCCAATATGCCTACTTCCCCATATAGGAGATTCTAACATAGGAAGCACCCTCTGCCTCTAAGCTAAGGACTAGCACATTAATATTAGCAACCTTAAGCAAGTGGACAAGCTAAACTACATATCATAGTTTTGTGCATTTCATCTTAACAGTTCAGTTGCCTACCTGCAGGGAACTCCAAGCAATAGCCTCCCATCGGAGGCCTGAACTGTTTTACTAACACGATGCAGTCATAGTGGAGAGTTCTCTGCAATACAGCTATAACTGCAACACCTGCCGGCAGAAAGAAAACAGTGATGGAAAAAGAGCTTTTGAGTGGGTCGGGCCCTGAGGACTGCGGTGCCCAGACTCCCTCCCCCAAAGTGAAGTCCAGAATCTGAAGATGGTACTGAGCTGCCTAGAGAGTCAGACACTTCAGAGTAGATTCCAGGGGTAAAGAGCTGCCTGGAGCTAGCTGGCACATTGCTAGTCTACAGGACTAGCTTGAGGAGCTAACTCCTCAGCTAACTGCTGAGGACAGTGGTGCGTGTTAAATTGTCTCTCTCAAGACTAGAGGGAGGTTCCTCCCTTCACTTGGAATCTCCTGAATGTGGCACCTGCAGGGAATCCTAGAAAAGTTGGGGGAGAGGAATCTCCAGAGGTCATCTACTCCCAACCCCTGCCTGAGGCAGGATCATCTTTATTCAAACTATACAAATCCATTACCTAACCTAACTGATCCTTCCTTCTTGACCCTAAACATGGCTACTGAGCTGACCCTGAGCAGAGGGGCAAGACGCTCTAGCCAGGAACCTATGGGTTTAAATCTCAATAGGGGCATTAGCACACCCCAGTCAAAATCCTATGCCTTGGCTGCATCTTTTCTTCGAACACCAAGCAAATTTCCCCATCTCTTAAAACAGGGGTTAGGAGAGGAGAAAATGGTGCTTTTATGCAACAGCCTAGAGGTTAGTACTCTTGCTCAGAATGTGGGAAGCCTGGATTTAATCCCCTTTTACCAGAGATTCAAACTTATATTCTTCACCTCTCAGGCATGTGCCTTATTCCCCCAGCTCTGGCTACAGGCTATACTGAGTGGCAACACTCTACCTCCTTCCAGTTGAGCTATGGAAGGATTCTGTTCTTTCCAGGGCACAGGTGGTAAAGCACTATGCTGCTGTGGTCAAGCACTCTGGTACATGACCTCCAGCACTAGTATATTTAAGATTGATAACCAGGGTTCCCAAAGCAGCCCATAGACCACTTGTAGTCTTCAAAGCATTGGTATGAAGCCTGTAAAGGGATACTGTAATGGTGTTAAACGGATATTTAATGGTCAGCAGAGCCAGCAGATTTGCAAGGCTTTGGTTACTGGCACGCACTCAGCAGTGTTTCAGCTCAGTGATTTTCCTTGTTGTCTACGGAAGGCACAGTATACATTAGAATCGGTGGAAAATAAAAGTACTGCACTACAGATTTCTTTTGTTAAGCAGTCCCCAGCGTGATGTCCCACCCACTAAGATACCATCCATAAACATAATTTTGGCACCCCCGATTTATACTATTCATGCTGTGATTAATTTTTGAACAGGTGCTTACATAAGTCTGCACCCTCTTATTGTGGGAGCTGCAGCTTAAAAAGCTTTCATACCAAGAAAAGCTAAGTGTGGACACAAAGGTATCTGGTACCATACCATCAGCGGACATGCCCTCTTTCCTGGTGGTACGCTTTATGCATTCCCAAATTCTGTTAAAATACAGAGAAAAAGAAAGAGGGGATGCGTTAACTGTAAAAATATATGGAAGATATACAGAATGTGTGCTTCCCATTCAGCTTCACTGCTGCCATTCAAAAGCAAACATGCCAATGTACAGTGAAATCAGCACAAGAGTACACTCGTATTAAATGATCACTTTGAAGCAGGGGTGGCCAACCTGTGGCACACCTCACAAGTGGAATGAGCAACCTCTGTGCATGGCACATGGCAGACTCCCACTGTGCTGCCAGTCTTCTCTGCAGATAGGGCAGGAAGCAGAAACAGAGCAGCAGACTGGGCAGGGGAAGGGGTTCAGAGCGGCACTGGG